ACAAGCAGTCATGTGCAACTCTGTAATAGCATGACAGGTTGTTGGGCGTTTGGCTGACCTTTATGAATGACACTAGCTGGGAAATAAAGTGAGCTAGTTTAGGTTGAACCAGAGTGTCCTCTTATGGAAAGTTTCTATTATTCAGTCCAGTCTGAATGGACACCTCAGTTGTATGATCTGATGCAGAAACATGCTGCATCATTCAGTTCTAATGGGGATAGAGAGGAAAAATAAAAGCCCTCACACACAGATGGACACAGGCTCTGCTGATCTGTGTGGAGTACCCAGAAACATGCAGAGTTTTAAATTACTGCTATTTCCTAATAATCTAAGAAACATCACTGATACTGTTAAAAAACATTTAATGGCTCTTAATTAAAAATCTTGAAAATGTATCTACGGCAATGTATTGTTCTTCATATCTGCACAGTGACCGCAATCTTACAGCATCAGTTTTCATTAACCTTATAAATGTATACATCTACTTAGGCATATGTGTTTGTGTGGACTGGTCTTTTTTATTCATATGGTATTTCTAAAGCCGTATTACTCACTTTGCATCTTGTCAAATAAACTGCTGTAAATGATTTATGATGAGATTTTGATGATTGCTTTCTGTACAAGTCTTGGGGGGTGATTTCTCAGCTATCCATCAGGGCCTATCAGATTAGAAAAATAATCTCATCACCAGCAACAGCAAAAACTTGCACTTGGATACAAACACTCTTATGAGTCCAGAGCAGAAGCCAGGTCCAAGATGATGTTAACACTTGCTCAGCTGCACCCTCATTAGAAAAAATAAAATAAGGAGAACACAATCTGCCCTGATTGCATTTCTCTAAGTTTTTTCAAATTCTGTTCTGTAATCAGCAGAGACAATTGAAAAGCCTAGTCACAGCCTTTACCAGTCCCTGTAATATTTACATGTAGCAGGGTATGAATAGGAAATCTGCCCTGCAGTCTTTGTGAACTGCAGAGCATAGAAGTGTTACCATACTCTAACAGAACTGAATAACTGGGGTATTTTTAATTGTGCTGTTTCAGGCTGTGCAACCTCTTCTATCCTTTGCCAGCCACAGTTCCAGCAGTGTCACGGTTGGGTAATTGAAAGATACCTCATGGATGTAAACAGAAAGGCCATGGTCAGTGCAGGGTTGACCACCTTTGAGCTGTGCTCTTATTTTTGTTACTACAAGACATAGTTACGTGTCTACTCTAGGTGTTGAATTTGTATGTATATATGCATGTGGGGGAACACCTCTGCTTGGATTCATGGCTCCTTTATCTGAAGGGAGGCTTTATTAAGCCTAAGTTCTATGCATCAGCCCTTGCCCAAATAATAATTCTGATTATTCTAAGGCATCTTTTTTGTTCTGTTATTGCAGATCCCCATTTTGACCCAATAACTGGTCATGTTCCTTTGCCACCTGCTCGTAGAGTAGCTGCAGAAAACATCAAAACAAATAGGACATCTCAAGACTATGATCAACTTCCTCCCTCTTCAGGTAAGGTAGAAAACTGTTCTTGTAGAAAATCACAACTTAATGAAGCAAATAATTTTCATTCATAAAGTCCAGTAAGGTTTTTTGTCATTCTGGGCATCAAATGGCAGTGGCAATATTGCTCTACGAAATTATGAAGTCATCAAAGGATAACAGAGATTAAAGTTCAGCAATAAAAGCAGAAGTGACTACCTGTTGTCTGTAAGTGTAGATATTATGGCATCAGTTTCACCAGCTACCAAACTAAATGCTTATGTCAGTCCTAGTGTTCCTTATTTTTTGAGAAAGGCATAGATTTTTCTGCCACCTTTAAAGCTCACAAGAGATAAGAAGTCCTGCAGGGACCACATGCATCTCACTTTCATCATTGTTTCATTGCTTCTGAAAAGAACCCTCAAAAAGTAGCTTCATTCTGAAGTATTGTTTTCTGTTCTTTTTGCTAATGTGTTTGTCTGAAGTGCTAAGAAATTTTTTTTTTTAAATAAAGAAACAAGAACCAAAACAAATTAAAAATCAGACTTCCATTTAACAGGCCCAGTAGAAACCATTCCTCTGTCATGTAAGTTTTGCATATGGTTTTCACTCAACACAAACAATATTTAAAGGAAAGCTACTCAAATTAATTAAAATAAGTGTATAATATAAACTATGAAATAAAGTGTTACTTGTATTTCAATGTACTTTAACAGTTGATAGACAATTTTTTTTCTTTAGATGGGCATGGTATATGGGGAAGGGGAAGGTTTGTCCGATCTCCATCCTTTTTCTGTGTGGGGAGACCACACAAAGAAGAAGCCAGATGGTGCTTTGAACCATTATTTGTTCTACAGATAAGAGTGAATTGTGCATGAAAACTCTTTTCTAATGCATGAAGAAATAAAAGGACTTATATCTGTAGTCTTTCGGTTTTAATGATCATCAATGGAAAAATGATACATTTTCTAAATTGTAATTATATCTCTCCTTCTTAGGAATATGTAGTTCATCTCTGCTATGGTATAGGAATGAAAGAGTATATTTTTCCAACTTAAAGTACAGGGGAAATTCATTAAGCCTGAAAAGTCCTACAGATTTTTTTTTAATGAATAGCACATTTGAGAATTATTGCTATGCCTTTGGCAAATAGTACCACTTTTGGGAGGATACCTCTATTAATGTAACAGTGTTTCTCTTTTTTTAACCTGTTGTTAGAAAAAAAAAAGATATTTTATAATGTATGTTTTATATATGACACTGTGAAGGATCTATTTGTCTTACAACAATAACCTAATTTATTTACAGCATTTAAAATTATTTTATAGTATAAATTATGACAGTGATATAACTACCTTTAAAAGGTAGTTTAGAAAACTCTTGAGTTTTCCTGCAATTCTTGCAGACCTGTGGTAGAGCAAAACTTCAATTTTCCGAAATTACTGCAAGATGTTTGCTACTTAAGATCTTGGATCTTTCTAATGTCACTTAATAAATATTTTTCTATCTGTATGTATCCCACAGCCATCTTCTAAAACACCCACATGTGTCGACCTTTGCTATAAATATCATTCTAAATCAGCCTGATGTACAGCACGATACTCAGTTTCATCTCAATTAAATGAAAACTATGTGATAGATCGTGTTGTACTCTTAATTGGAAAGGTTTTTTTACAGTGGCAGTAATTCCACAGAACAGAACTGATGAGCTTCAGGATGAACTGGTTCACCTTCATCTAGATTTAAAAAGATAATGTAGAGATGTAACTCTATTTAGAACTTTTTGGTTTTGCATTTGTTCTGAATTAATTAGTTCACTTAGGAAATGAATCTTTATTTCAGCCCTTTCGCGTGGTGATTCTTTGAACTAGCTGGAAAAGAAATGCAGTTCACTCTAAAATCTAATTATAATCTAGCCACTGTCTCCCCGGAGTAGCATGAGGAGTCCTTTTTTAACTTCTGTGCTTCACTTTGACTGTTTTTAAGATTGCTGTCATGATGTTTAACTGAATCGTTAACATGTAATGAGAAATTTATTCTAATTCAGCAACATATTTAGAATTGAACACTTAAATAGTTCTCAACTATGCACTTACCTATCCCAAAGGCATAGTTTTTCAAGCTTCTAAAATACAACTTTTTAAAATTATTACAATAAAAGCAAAAGAAAGAGATTTTGCTAGTAGTTAGCATATTTTACCTAAGCACAGTCAATGATACACGGAAAAGGATGAAGAAAATTAGGCCTCTGATATAGATGTCTGCTGTATTTTACTGAATTTAGCTATTCTTTAAGAAATGGATTCAGGTGGCTAGTTAAGTATACTTTTCTGCTGCCTGTTCACTCACCTGGCCTTACTAAAGCTTTTGTATGCAAATTTAAATTCCTTTACATAGAAGTGTTTGAAAGAGGGTGTCACATACTATTTCAGGTTGAAATTCAATTAACGCTCAGGGGACTCATCTGCTGCAGTGATGCAAAATATGAAGACGTACCAAAGAGCTTGATGGACCAGTACATGCAGTTACTCCTTTCTCACCTTCTCCCTGCTCTGTCAGTTCCTGAATGCAGAGGTCCCCTGGGTATGCTTTGTTCCTGTACCCCTGTTAGATGTAGCTGCTTGGCACTGCTCTGCAGAGGGCCTTGCACAACAAGCCTTCGTCACCTGGTTCTCTGATGCTTCTCAGTCTGCCAGCAAAAGACCATGGAGCATACAGGAGAAGCAGTAAGGGAAGAAAGAAGGGAGGCATTTCGTGGCAGAGAGGAATAGACAGTTGGCATAATTGCAAATGCCCTTCTCCCACTATGCCTCAGAGCTCTTTCCTCACAAGTTTTTCTGTGCTTTTAAAACACTTATTAAATGAGCCTGTCTCTGCCTTTATACTAGGCCATTACCTAAGGGTTAAATCTAGTGCTACATTACAGAAATGTGAGTGATGGAGGCAGTTCCTTGATGTAGAAACTGTTAATTGAATTACACAGTTGGAGAGTCTATTTGAATTTTTACTTAGGCATCCACGGTGGCTGAAACATCAGAGAGGATGGGAGGTTGGGAACAAAAGTCCTGCTTAAATACCTCTATCTCAGTGTCCAGATGGACATACAGCTTAGGCTTAGTATCTTTAAGCTCAGGATCCAATGTGATGCTCAGCTTCAGCTAAAATTTTATGTGGACATGAAGATACTGAAAGAGATGTCAGCGCTTAAAAAAAATAATGGGAATTGAGTGAGAGAGAGAGGGCTGAAGATCTTAAAGTATCTGTGCTATAGAGAGATGTCACTGTAGTGAGAATAAAATGCCTATGCTGCAGATCTGCTGACAGAATTAAAAATGACTTTTCTAAATTATGTGATTGCTTAAAGTTTGTTTGGAAGCTTCAGCAAAGTGAAGGTTTTATACAAGAAATAGCTTCAGTTTTAAGCCTGTATTAGACTGGATAGAGCAAAAAATAACTCATGTAATACACACACAGAAGGATCTGGTCTATGCATAAGAAATTTCTTTTGTACTTCAAGCCAAGGGGAAAATGTAAAGTTGGCAAATTAATTTTGTTTCATCCTCTATGGAAATGAAGTCCAGAATGAAATGTGTATATTAAAACAGTTTTAAGTGTTTGTGAAAGAAAACTCATAGTTTTTAATGTGTTATCATAGAGCCATAGAATCATAGAATGATCTGAGTTGGAAGGGACCTTAAAGATCATCCAGTCCAACCCCCTGCCATGGGCAGGGACACCTCCCACCAGACCAGGTTGCTCAAAGCCCTGTCCAACCTGGCCTTGAACACTTCCAGGGAGGGGGCATCCACAGCTTCCCTGGGCAACCTGTGCCAGTGTCTCACCACCCTCACAGTAAAGAATTTCTTCCTCATATCTAGTCTAAATGCATCCTCTTCCAGTTTAAAGCCATTCCTCCTTGTTCTGTCACTACGTGCCCTTGTAAAAAGTCCCTCCCCAGCTTTTCTGTGGGACCTCTTCAGGAACTGGAAGGATGCAATAAGGTCCCCCTGGAGCCTTCTCTTCTCCAAGCTGAACAGCCTCAACTCTCTCAGTCGGTCTTCATAGGGGAGGTGCTCCAGCTCTCTGATCATCTTCATGGATGTCCTCTGGACCTGGTCTAGCAGTTCAATATCCTTTTTGTGTTTGGGACTCCAGAACTGGATGCAGTACAGTCGTGGGGTTTCATGAGAGCAGAGTAGATGGGCAGAATCTCCTCCCTTGCCCTGCTGGCCACACTTCTTTTCATGCAGCCTAGGATGTGGTTGGCTTTCTGGGCTGTAAGCACATATTGCCGACTCATGTTGAGCTTCTTATCAACCAACAGCCCCAAGTCCTTCTCCTCAGGTCTGCTCTCAAGCCATTAAACCATTATTTTAAATGCAAAGAATATTCTTCTGTTACAGTTTTGGGTTTTCAAAAATAAGTGATATGAAAAATTTGAACTTGTTTCTCATTTGGCTTCTGGTTATTAACCACATTTCCTGAGCTTAGTTAGTTTCTCAAACCAGTGTTTCCTGGATATTCTACACGTTCATAGCAGGTTTGAATCTGCTTCAGATGCGTTTACTAAAATGTTAAGCATTCATATTCTTTTCACCTTCAGAGAGAAAAAAATGTAACAAATATCAAATAGCACTTACTATCCATAGGTTGTGTCATCACTATTTGCAAGGAAGACAGACAAATAAGAACAAAATTTATCTTAGCCTTTTACTGTAAATTTTTAATCAAATTGCTCTCATCCATTTGTTATGACTATCACCATCTTCCTAACAGTCCTATTCACTTGTCTTCTCTGAATGAAGAAATGGAATTAAAATTTACCGCAACACTCATCTGAATGTATGGAAACTACATTGAGAGGAATATACACCTTGGTTAGACGTTCCCTAATGTGAACTATTTTCATTCATCTGAAGTGTTTAATGCACTCAGTTGAATTACAGTTCTCTCTATCCAGTGTTACGATGAGGTAACATATTGTAACAACAATACTAGAAATACAACTAAATCACTAAAAAACTGCCTCTGAAGTACTTAGCACTTTAAAATGCCATTGCTGGCAGTGTAAGTAAACAGGAACTATCACAGCCAGAATTTCCTCTAATTTATCTGTCAAAGTTACTAATAATGGAACTTTTTAGGACACTTTTCCAATGGTTTTTTTTCTGCATACTTTGCTCTTGAAAGTGTTTTCTGCTCTATGCCTGCTTGTATTTAAGCTTCTTATTGTAGAATCAGTGAGGATAAAGAGGTTTCAGTAAAGTACCAAGTTTACTTGAGCACCAAACTCTTGACTCTGAGAAGATTAGCAAGTTTGAAGATTAGCTTTTTTTCCATCAGTGCATCATGGTTCTTAGCACCAGCATTAACTGTGAAGGTAACCTTTCCATACCGGAGAAGGAGAAAGGAGATATTTCCAAAGGGGGACTGGAGAGGAAGGTTCATGATCTGTTCTCTCCACTGAAAATAACTGGACTGGAGGGTTTTTTTGAGAAATCAGTTATTTCTGTATTTATGCATAGCTTCTGTGCATGAAATGAACTGCAATTGACTGAACAGAATCTGCAAGATGTACCAATAAATGAATTCTTTTTCTCCCTTTGACATATCTGGCTGAATTCCTATTCTGCACAACTTAAGGACCTGAATACAGTTGTGATCAAATTCGTTGGTTGAGGTTTTTGTTTGTTTAAAACAGACTAAGAAAAAGTTCTCAAACTGTGGGTTGAAAGTGGAGAGCCTTCAAAATTTTGACTGGCTATTTTCACCATCTTTGCTGTTTCATCATACTTACTTTTTTTTCCAACTTTGGATAATTCAGATTGTAACTTGCTTGTTCCTATCATAGTAAGTTCTTCACTACGTTATTTTCATTTTCAATGTTCTTGAAGGATTCAGCTTGTGTTCAAATTTAAAAATCGGTTCTATCATTGAATTAAAGTATCTGTTCACGTTCCTTTAGAATTTTATTTTTTACACTGTTTCATGAAGCTTGACCTACATTCTTTTAAGCCAATTTCTAATGGTTTCTATCTCCTTTGTTTGAAACAGATGGTTCACAAGCACCAGCCAGGCCCCCTAAACCACTTCCTCGGAGGACTGCTCCAGAAATACATCACAGGAAAGCATACAGCTCTGACAGTTCCACAGAAAATGTGGATGCAAAAATTGCAAAACTTATGGGAGAGGGCTATTCCTTTGAAGAAGTCAAGAGGGCACTTGAAATTGCCCAGAATAATGTTGACGTGGCCCGTAGTATTTTAAGAGAGTTTGTCTGTTTTCCTCCACCGGTCTCCCCACGTCTCAATCTATAGCAGTGTCAAGATATTCTTGGAGCATGTGAATTCTGCATATACACGTGTGGATTGGGGAATGAGAGAAAGAAGAGAATGGAATATTTTTCTTTCATCCTTATTAGAAGGGTGTTTGTTTCCAGCCGTTTATCAAAGGCTCATGGCTGCTCTGATCAAGACTTATAAATATGCTGAGGCTTATGTATTTTTGCTAGCCATACTTTTTTAAATCAGGGTTGAACTGACAAAATAATTTAAAGAAGTTTACTTCCCTAGAACTTTTAATCTGTGAAATGCTTTTTCTTGTTTACAAGTTGGCAAGTTACAGTTTTCTAGATGATGCTTGTATTATGTTCCTGTTTGTATTCCCTTGTACTTATGGTCAGTTCTGCTGTAGCATTCCCAATAGTTTCCATGCTGACCAGTCCATCAACTAAATCATCACTTTCCACAAGTTTGATGTTTGTTTGTTTTTTCTCTTACAAGATGCTTTAAATGTTTTTTTGCATTTCAGCTCATCAAATGCAAAAAGTATGTGGCCTTCACTACTGATTTTTTTTCTCTTCTGAGATTCCTTTGCTTTTGAGGGAGGAAATATCTGAATGTAAAATGCATTATTCTGTCTATGAACTGCCTTTTTAAAGGTATTTTGACAGTAACGTCGGGCAGCTTTCTGTTTAACAGGAATTCCATGACTTGTAGTCCTCAAGGTCTTTTATATACAGTTTCCACAAAAAAATCCCAACCAATAAATAAAACACTTCACACTGCAGTGATACTGAGTTCTGACATGTAAAAGCTCTTTCAAATTTGAGTATTTGAATGCAAATGTTCAGAAAAGCCAAATGCAGGTGATAATACTGTGTTTTGATTACACACTAGTGGCACCAGTTTTCTATGACCTATGTAAACTGAGTCGTGCCAGACTAGAAGGAATCTTTTTGAATCAAATTAATGGTATTCAGGTAAATTCCAGTTCTAGTTTCTGTGAAGTAGAGAATGCAGTTAATTTTTTGTTTGAGTGATTATCCTGTGGTTCATTGTGGCTTGGATCAGTTTGTAATTAACATGGAAACTTTAAATCTTTGATGCACTGTTAATTCCTAATGCTACTGTAGCAATACTTTTTGCAAAGTTCTTTAGTAACCTCCTCTTCTGTACACTTTCTTATTCTGACGTATGTGTTTAATACCTAAATTCATTTGCTCACTTTCCAACTGCTTAGTAGGAAATACAGTTTTGCTTTACATGGCTAGTGATACCCTAGGCTTTGACTTCTTTTTGAGCCCAAATTGATGTAAGCCAATTTTAAAATCTTCCTAATTTTAGAAAAGAGAGAGAGAAGGCAACTCTGTTCTTTAGTACATTTGAAGTTAAGAGTCCAGTTATTTCCGGAATAATTCTTAAGATTGCTGCTTTCTTGGTTTTTTAGGGAACTTTGAAATCTTTTCTTTTATTGCTGTTGAAAAGATAAAACCATATGGTAGTCAGAATATTTTTCACATTTTGAGATGTGACCAGTGTATGCAAATTTTCAGTGTGCTAAGCTGGGTGTGAGATACATATTTATTGTTCCCTTTCAGCTGTCAGTCTTCTCCTTCACTCAGAGCAAATGGCAAAAGTTACATTACCTACAGGATCAGATCTCAGCAGACAATGCGTTTGTTTTAAAGCTTTTATTTTAAACACAGCAAATGGCTAAATTGCAAGATTCAAAATAACTGGGAACATCCAGTTGAAATTACTGTGATATCTCAAAGTCCATTGTTTCATCAAGGAACTTATTCTAAAAACTAATTAAATAAATTATTTTGTAGCATCACAAAGCATGTTATGGATATCATTAATCTGCTTCAATGATACAAGATGATCAGGAGAATTCAGGGTATTGGGAAGAGCTTCTGTTCCATTTTTATTTAAGCAAATGATTCTGAGTTTCTGTCCTAGAAAAGGACATTTGCAACTTCCTTTAAATGTTCATTCCTTGAATGCTTATGAAAGTTTTGGTTGAAGTTATATTCTGTGCTTTTAGTTCAAGTAAATCCCTTCCCTCTGTTTTGGGGGAAAGTTTTATGTAGTCTTGAATCCTCTTGTTAATTTGGTTGGTTTGCAACACCACTCTAGCATTTATCTATCAATCCAAAATGATTCCTACTGTTAAATTAAACAGTGTGGCTGTGCTGGAGTTACTTAAATGAGGTTGTAGCATAACTGCCAGTGTAGCAACGATGACGGTGGAAAAGAAACGCTTTACAAGGATGAGCAAACAATCTGCAGATTGAGTTTTGAAATTTTGAATTGTAATGGAGAACTCATTTTCTCATTTTTATGCAGCGGCTTAGGGTAAATGACACCTTATGTTTCAATTAGAGGTAGAAACTGCTGCCTCTGATAGATTAAGGTTTTAAAATTTTTCCTTCTCCTTTCTAGTTGTGACCACCAGTAACACTTCTTTCTTTTAGTATGTGCTAAGAAAAGCTTGACGGGTAATATTCTGAGTGATTAATCTTTAAATGAGTGTGCTGATAACACTTCTAAATAGTGGAACATGAAGACTGTTTGAAACCTGTTTTGGTTAATAGTTTTAAAGTGAAACAGAGTGAAATTGCTTTGCCAAAATGGTGGTGTTTACGATCCAGGAATTAATAGGCTTAAAAGAAATGAATCTGGCTACAGCGTAGTTCTCTAAACACATGGCAGTGTGTTATGCCCATATATCACATATATAACTTGAAGGAAGACTGACTTTAGTGAGAGTGCTTGAATGAACAAAGGTGGTTAAACTCAGAAACATGTGCTATCATATTTCTTCCTATTAAATGTCATTGTAGGCTTCAGATCATCATTCTGATGGCTGTTGGCCTCACCATGATCTCCTTTTGGCTAAATTACTGCATTTTGAGCAAAGTAAGTGGACATCAGCAGTGTGGATCTTTTCCAAAGACTGAGTATTGTGGTAAAATAAATGAAATTATTATGATTAGCCATCTTAATGGCTTGGCTGGAACCCTAAAATGGCCACTGGTAAAATTTGTTCATGTTCCATATCTCAAGAGTGTATCTGACACAGGCTTTTTTCATAATGTGAATTTAGGAAGTTTTGTACCAGGATCATTTCTTCTGTTATATTTGTCTCATTTTCAGCTTGAAGCTTTACTTTGCACTGATGACTCTGACCTGAAAGCATTTAAATTTGTGTCTTAAAGCTTGATGAATTTTGAAGCAAATGAACACCATATTTTAAGCAAATTCCGGTACTACCTGTTGACCTGGAATTTAGCGCTTTTAGGAATGACTTCATGAAAAAGGACTTCAGTAGTTTTCATTTTGAAGGATTTTCTTTCAAATAACTATTTTATCTGAAAATGCCTTTTATAAACTTGTCTAACATGTGGCAAACTTAGTGACGTGTTCAATTAATTTATATTTTATTCAACATTCTTTTTAAATTTTGGTTATTATGTAAGCTCTTTATCTGTTCTTGTAAGGTATTTTATAAAATTAATGTTAACAGAATATTGGGCTGGTCTGTGATTTTTCAAGACTCTGTCTCTCTCTTACTGAATATTATCACTTTTCATATAGTGCTTTAGAAATATAGCCTATCCTTTGTAGTGGTCTTGGAAACCCTTCTTTTGCAAGCCACAAAATGAGGCCTTGCTCTAAAATACGGTGAATCATTGCATTGAGACATTCACTTTATATCTGTTAATTCATTTCTAAATTTCAGTAGTAAAAAACATATACATTGGCAGTAATTCTGGAATGTCCATGTAATAGTTGTATGGCAGAAAGTTTATCGTAATTAAATACTTAGAATCCAAAGTGATGAACATACGATCCGGCTGTATGTTAACTTACAGTGTTCTTTTCCTGAAAAAACTTACAATAAGCTCATACTGATACTTCTTTAACATGCTGTGTGTTTACATTCTCAAGCATTGTACTCTAATGTAAAGAATATTTTAGGAGTGTAAACCATTTTTATTTTCTGTTACTGTATTCCAGTTTTCTGAAAAAAGGTGAGAAAATCTAACCCCTCTGCTATGCATGACAATACAACTATTATTATTTAAAGCACAAAACCATTCCCTGCAGGTCGGATTAGACCTTCAGTGATGAGATTTTCATGGTACTTTCGTCAGTTTGTTAAATCATTGTCCACTATATAGGTCACTAGTCATATTACGAAGTAAAGAAGTTAACTGTTTGGTATATGTGTCCTTAGTACCGTATCTGCCTATTTCTTTCATCTTTGCTCTTCTGATGTGAAAGTCATCTGTCACTTCATTGTGTCACAATCAAATTTGAGCAGCTGAGTGTTCTAGGAATGTTTCAGGAGTTTTTGTTTGATGGATCCAGTCATTATTTCTACACAAGATATCTGCCTCCATTTCTCAGTTGCAATGAGTCTCCATCAGGAAAATTATAAATTCAGATTTTAAAACACTGTGTGTTACTTTGGCACCTAAACGTTCCATTTGTCCTTAGGTGATTTCATGCCTAGCAGAGAGAATTCTTACTAAAATAAATCCTAAATCTCTTAAGCTTAAATCACAAATCTTAAACTTGTGTAACCTAATGCTACAGCCTTCCAGAACATCATAAAGAATGAAAGGTCTCAGAACACCGTGAACCATGAAAAGACTTCTGGTTCCTAGACCTGCCAGAAACAAAAGCGCAAATCCCTTGAGTACTGATCTTCTGAATGTGAAGCTGCTTGCGTCTGTCTTGATCTGTGGAGGCATCAGCCATTCTGCCTACATCAATACTTGTTTGAAACAGGTCAACTCTTTTTATTGCAATAGCTGAAACAGGAGCCAGCAAGATGGGAGAGGAGCAGATAACTACATGGAAGAAAATTCTGTCCCAGCAATCCAAGCCTCTCTCTCCTGTTGGTGTGCAAGATTCAGCTGTTTTGAACTGCCTGGGTGTCTAGTGCAAATTAAGGAGTATTTGGTAAGACTGCTCCAGTCTTCAATTACTGCGTCTTTCTCCAAGAAGTTCTTTAGAAGACATGTTGTTTTGCAACAGAGTGCCAGGGTCTTGGCAGCAGAGGGAAGTATGAAGTAGCACTGCTCAGAATGCTTTTTGATGCTAGCAAAGCAATCAAAAGCTTCAGAAGGCACCTTTCCTACAAAGACAGGCTGAGAGAGTTGGAGTTGTTCAGCCTGAAGGAGAGAAGGCTCCGGGGGGACCTTATAGCGGCCTTCTAGTACCTGAAAGGTGCCTGTAAGAAATCTGGGGAAGAGCTGTTCACTAGGGCATGTAGCCGTAGGATGAGGGGTAGATTTAGATTGGATATTACGAAGAAGTTCTTCAATATGAGGGTGACGGATCACTGGAACAGGTTGCCCAGAGAGGTGATGGAGGCCCCATCGCTGGAGACATTCAAGGTCAGGCTTGATGGGGCTCTGAGCAACTTGATCTAGTAACATTGTCCTTGCTCAC